TTTGGAAAATTATTATTTTGAAAAAAAAAAACTACATACTTATTGCTTCAGAAACGTATGAACACTGAGTAATAATCGAAACCATACTGAAATGGTAAATTGAATACATATGTACATATTTATGTGGTATGATTTTCGCTTTTTACTGAGAAAATCTAACGGTTTATAATAATGGAATATGTGAATGGTATCAGTCTGTCACATTCGCGAAGGAAATATTGAGTAATGTATGCTGAAGCGTTTAACTAAAACTTTATTGAAAAAATAAGATATTAAGTTTTCGAATTCCGAAAAATCTTTTGAAACTGTGTGCAACTGCAACCATGAAAATAATTCAAAATTTCCTTTTCGTTCCCTCGCCTACGAAAACCAGTGTGGCCGCCAAATCCTTCGATCATGGACAAACATAAGTCAGTTTTGTGAACGCATACAATAGCAAACTATCTCTAGGTAAGCTTGCTGGAAATGTTAAAGGATAATATTGTATTAACCGGGTATTCAGAAAACGACCTTAAATGTAGTAATTAGTTTTTTTTTTTTTTCAATGGCGACATCTTTAACGGCAAATACGATGGCTCATTAACGAAACGCGATACACATGTGAACATGTTTGCATATATGAATTAACATATATACATATGTATTTATGTACACACTATATACTATTTACAAATATTTGTAGCTTAGTTAGTGATATTTAATATAAATTTATTGCGCATTATTAGTGTTCATTGTTTAGAGTCGATGATTGTTTGATCAATATGAGGAATTGATGTGAAGGATGTCCAAAAGGACATGGAAATGGGTAATTCAACTGCATCGACCGGTTATAGGAGAAGAGAGATGTCAGTTAATTTAACGGAATGAAAGAAGAGAGTTCGTTACTTACCAAAGTGAATTTAATAGAATGGTTTATCACTCAACGTCTCTCTATTAGTCGGGCCGTTTTACAGACAATGACGAAGAAGTTTTATTCCAAGTTCTTCTTAAATATGGTGCAACGATGTCATCTAATGTATGTAGTGCCATTTATGCATAAAGAAGCTACTGATATAACGTAATAAAAAATAATAATCTTTTGCTTGAAGAATTTGCACAGTGATGGTTTTCTAGATCCCAATGCAGGCGACAAAGCACTTTATATGTATTTCAATATTCAATCAGACGATACGGGAAATGTAGTGAAGATTCTATAAATTTGTTTGAACTGAACTTTTAAACTAAAAAAAAAAAAAAAAAAAAAAAAAAAAAACCAATTAAAAAAAAAAAAAAAAAAAAAAAAAAAAAAAAAAAAAAAAAAAAAAAAAAAAACAGACGCCAATTGAAAGCTTTTTTCTTTTCAAAAAATTAATAAAGTTTTCAAATTTTCGTGGTGTTGAATTATATTACAGGCGTTGGCTAAAAATTTGATTAGTGTGCTGAACACATATTCAAGAGACATCTGTCAAATATTAAAACACACACGTTCTTAAGGACACAGTTATTTAAACATACAATGTATATGTATGTATATGTAGATATCAAATCGCTATTGGTGCAGGAGTGGAGAGAACGGCTGAACAACTTAGTTGAAAAGAACCAGGTGCACCTAATCTGGGTGCCTGGTCAGAGGGGTATAGCCGGCAACGAACTGGCTGACGAGCTAGCCCGCTCCACAGCCTCCACCAATATGATTGATCCCGAACCGTTCACTGGGGTGGGTCCCCATACTGTGAAGGAGCTGCTCCGCAAGGAAGAAAGAGTGTGCAGGGAAAGGTATTGGCAGCGAGCGYACGGTATGCGTCATGCCAAGCTGCTAGTTGGGGGGTACAACCAGAAGAGGTTCAAATCGTTAATAAACCTCCCAAGAAACAAACTCAGGATCCTGGTCGCATTTTACACCGGCTACTGCAAGCTGAAAAGGCGTTTAGCTAACATGGGCCTATCATCTTGCGCCAACTGTCGGTTTTGCGACAGGGACCCTGAAACCCCGGAGCACCTGTTAATCGACTKCATTGCAGTCTGTAGGCGCAGATCGAAGGCTCTTGGAGCCATGTTTCCGGATAGGGATCACATCGCCTCGCTAGCACCCAGCAGAATACTGGACTTCATCAATATGCTGGAGCTAAGTGAGTCCCTGTGAGTTAGGAGAGGGCACAATAGACCTAAGGTCGCAGTGCATTCCTCAATTATTTATCTATCTATGTATATGTTTTTTTGCCACGATTATGATTTTTTGGCGCCGCGATTTGGTGCTACGGATGGATAGAGGAGGATATATCCTCCTCAAACTTATAGGTTTCGAGATATTTGTATTTAAAGTTTCACAAATTTATATGCAATTCACTCATAGTTGGTTTTCTTACATGACATGACAAATACCAGTGCTGTCACATATTGCGTTTTGAAAAAATAATCCAAAAAATTTTTGTTTTACATATTTAAAGACAATGACAAAATTAATTTCGTATCTTATGTTATTTAATAAATAAAGATAAAAAATAACCCTAGTCATAGTTTTTTTGTGTCGAACTACTTTCTGCACTTTCTAACCCTCATCGATCGAACACTTACATATGTCGTATAAGTTTTTTCTATTTATTGTGATATTTCTATATATACATTAATGTGTGTATACAGCTATTTATTGTGATATTTCTATATATACATTAATGTGTGTATACAGTGGCTCAAACGCAAAATGGGACATCGCTCTATCCTACAGAAAAGACCTTCAGTTTGAGTAAAAACGGAAAGTTTTTTTAATAAAAAGTAAGCAACATATTTTGAATTTATATTAGCTAGTAATTCCTTGTAAATTTGGTAACCCTTTCCCAATTTCATGGGAACTAAGCCAAAAAAAAAAACACACACACATACGATTTGAATGTCAAACGCAAAATGGGACACCGTTATTTCTTTTAACTGAAATAAGTTCTGTGTTTTAATTTCAATAAATACTCATTGTATATTCATCGTGTGTTATATTTAAGTGTTTTGGAAATGGCTCCGCGCGGAGGGCAAAGAAATTTTGAAGAGCGGCAAGAAATTGCGAAACTTCATTCTGAAGGGCTATCAATTCGCGAAATTTCCAAAAAAAAACTGGAAACCCTCGATCCACTGTGCAGAATATTGTGACGCGATATATCAAGGAGTTTCATTTGGCCAACAAAAGTAGGGAAGGTCAAGGAAAGAAACTTAATTCCCATGATGAGCGCCAATATTGAAGGAAGTGAAATTGAATCCTTTTGTTAGTGCTCCAGAATTAAAACTTTTTGCTGGAAAACAGCTTGGAAAAACAGTTTGCGCAGAAACAATCCGTAATGTTTTACGTTCCAATGATTTTTATGGTCGAATTATGAGGAAAAAACCATTTATCAGCGTAAGAAACAAAGAAAAGCGGTTGAAATTTGCTAAAGAATACTTATCGAAAGCAGAGAGTTTTTAGAATACGGTAGGACAATTTAAAGTTGGCTAATGTAATAAATTTGACTAAATATTATTATATTGTAGGTTTTATTTACTGATGAAAGTAAATTTAACTTACATGGTTCTGATGGCAGGAGCTACGTATGGAAAAAACCGAACACAGAATTAGAACGTGAAAATACACGTGCCACAGTAAAGCACGGTGGTGGTTCTGTGATGGCTTGGGGCTGTATGTTCAGTGCAGGTGTGGGAAACTTAACATTTGTCGAGGGAAATATGAATAAGTTTTCCTATCTTGATATACTAAAGGCAAATGTTAAGCAAAGTGTAACTAAATTGGGTACCGAGACCAATTTTGCCTTTTACCAGGACAACGATCCCAATACTTCCGAAGTTGCGAAGATGTGGTTAATCCATAACTGTCCCAAATTATTGCAACCACCTCCACAATCACCAGACTTAAATGTCATTGAGCATGTATGGGAAGAATTGGCTAGACGTGTATACAAAAACCGATTTAGCTCAATCAATGATCTGAAGAGTGGCTAAAAATCCAAACAGATTTTTGCAAGAAATTAGTGGAATCTATGCCAAGACGTCTCCAAGCCGTTTTAACCGCAAAAGGTTATGCTACTAAATATTAGTTTAAAAAAAATTTATTCAAATATAAACCAAAATAAAAGTGTCCCATTTTGCATTGGACATTGAAATCGCATGTGTGTATGTTTTTTTTGGCTTAGTTGCTATGAAGTTGGGCGATGGTTACCAAGTTTACGAGAAATTAGTAGTTAATATAAGTTCAAAATATGTTACGTACTTTTTATTAGAAAAATGTATCGCTTTCACTTAAACTGCAGGCCCTTTCTATACCACAGTGTGGTGTCCCATTTTCATTTGAGCCACTGTATATATTGTCAATTGTTTAAGTTTAAGTTAACCGAATGTTAATTGTAGTACCGAATTTTCTAAAAGCAGCGTTTGCTGAAATGTAGTAGCAGAAGTTTAACTTGAAACAAAAAAACTTTTCAAACAAAGAGAATGCTGTAAGGCTGCAGGAAAGTATAAGTTAATGAAAAGAGCGACCGCCTTGCTCAGCTGATGTTGCCGGTGGCGGCTAATATATCTATTATTCTGACTTTTTTGTTTGTTTTTGACTTGTGTTGACCCATGCATTAGCAATTGTTATAATACATGTGCCGGCAGTCACGTTCCATGAACGTGCACACATACACAAGTAACATTCAATGAATGAAATTGAAAAAAAAAACATGAATAAGTGCGGAGACTCCTAATAGCACGTCGACATATGTATGTATGTATGTATGTATGTAGTGTGGGACTAGTATTAGAAAAACGCACTTATGCTGCTCGGTTTGAATTTTTTGGTTTTCGATTCAGTAGTTCACTATTTTTGTCATCAACTCTTTGGAACTGCACTTTGAATGCACTTAAAGACTTCTGTATTTTTATTGGCAAACACCTACACTCACCATTGAACACTTACATGTACTTACAAATATACTTGGCATTATTGCGTTAAATTTTTTTTTTGTTCATACCATAGGTCCCCACCTGCCTTTCTAGTTACTCACCTAGCTAATTTTAATAGTGCCATTTCATGTATTGTTTGCAACTTTGGAGTTAGCGCAATCAATATATTCCAATCAACAGTTCGTTGCCCTCTGATGTGTTGATGCATCCATCCGTTAATGCAGCCGGTGAGCGACGCGTTGTGCAATTGTGATTCCACTTAAGTATGCTTATTGCAGCTACTATTGCTGTCGTTGCTTGATGTGCACCTGTTTGAGGTATAAATAAAACGTTTTTCGCAGTGCTTACTTATATTTTCCAACAGTTACAATTCGACAATACTAAGCACTTTATTCAGCAGACGCGGTTCTTTTACACTTTACCACCCACACAAATTGGCTACTTTGCAGCGGTTATTGCTCCGGTATGTTTGCTTTTATTAGTTGTTGCTGTTGTGATTCTGCCGAAACGCATTTTGTCTTGTTGTTATTGCTTTGGAGCTTGTTTACACGTATGGAAATACACTTAATTTGCCTTTTTGTTTTTGTTCTTAATATTTCGCTTTTTGCTCACGTCCCCTAATTCATGGATCGCGGATTTCGTGTGTTTACATTATATTTTAACCGAGTCTAGTCCATTTCCGTTTGATTTGTTTATAGAATTTGCATTTATTCCATGTTGTCATGGAATTAGCAATGACTTTAAATTTTCAACACTAAACGTAACAACATATGTATAGTACTTTGTTTACTTACTTAGCTCGTTTAAATTCAGTGTATGTTTGTTAATTCGTTGTGGTGTGACCAGAAAACTTGAACAACAAATATTTGTTTACGCGAGAATGTATCTTCTTTATAAAATAATCAAGACAAGTTTGCCAACCATTATCTCACTCAACTTGTTTTGACACGCGCTCGAATTGTACTGAAATTCAAGTGTTTTAACCAGCTGCAAGGTAAGAGAGTTGACAGCGAGAGCATTTTAATAAATGCCAGTTTTTCTATTATTTTAATCAAGCAGGGTTGATTTTCATAGTAGAAACGTAAATTGCAGGGTGTTATTATATTTAACAATCATGAATTGTTATATGTTTTGCTTTTTCGTTGGAAAGTTGTAAATATTTTGTAAAAATTTGTATATAGATAAGGAAAGAAATCAGTTTTTATATTTTTTAAATTGAGGAAAATAATTTATTAAACATTTATTTGTTCTATAAAAATTCGTAACATTAGAAAATTTATTATTGTAAAATTACTGCCAAGCATTGAATGGCAAAAGCGAACCTTGTTCTGGCAACGCTGTATAACCATTCATATGCGGAACACAATGCTCGCGACAGACTGCAGCAGCACGACAGTGAACTGAAAATGGCGTTGTGAACTACTGCATGAACGTTTGTGAGAGGGCAGCAACATAACAATGGCTGGTATGTACACAATTTCGTTATGGCCATACTAATCCCTTGCTCTTCAATGAAATTTTAATATTTTGTTCAAAGTGAAATTTTTAAGCAAAAAATAAGTAAATAGGTAAGTTTATATGTTTTAAATTATCGATTCAGTCGTTCGTTGTTCGTGGTTGTGTACGGTTGATTTCTTTCGTATCGTGCGCACATATACATACTCGCTTACTTAGTGTATGGGCAATTTAACCTAGCTTTGACATTTTGTGCTTCAATTCGTTACATTTTCCACATGTTTTTTTATACTTTTTATTATAAGGTTAAACCCACAATTTAATCGGGTAAGATCATAAACTCTTTCGCAATGCCCCCTGGGGCCAACAAGCTGGGGGATAATAGGTTTGCACTATTATCCCCAGGTCCTTAAAGCAAGAGGAAAAAGCCAGAAAATTCAACGCTGGAATTCTTCCCGGAATTACCTATTTCTAAGAAGGATGATCCGAAGTACCTCGTAATCAAATCACAGGACACCAGAAAAACTATTGCATCCACTTCTTGCTTTGCAGTACATAAAGGCCATAAACAAAGACATTAACAAAATCACATCGCTTCGTGACGGCAGCCTACTTCTTTTRGTCAAKAACCAAAAAATCGCTGACAAATTTTTACAAACCAAACATCTTCCCGGAGCTGGTGCTGTTGATATATCTCTTCACAACTCTCTGAACTCGGTAAAGGGTTCAATTTACGCTCCATTTATCTATCAGCTTGCTGATGACGAAATAATTGATGGTCTAAAAGATCAAGGTGTATCCGATGTTTATAAATTTACGAATCATACCCCTCTCACTGAATACTCTAGAGTCAAATGTGCTAACTGCGATGGTGAACACCCTTCTTCCTTTAACGCCTGTCCAAAATTTGTCCAGTCTAAAGAAATACTTAAAATTAAAACTATCAATTTATACAAATCTCAAATGCCTTCTACTCCCTCACCATTCTCCTATGCTAATGTTTCTTCCCTATACACTTCTCCCTCTCCATCCTTCTCACCCCTTTCCACAACTACTTCTCCTACCATCATACATCATTCTAGATATTAAATTCCAATTAAAACTTAAATTTTTCATACATATGTATATACTTTAGGCTGATCGACTTCGCCGGGGCCCGAAATATGATTATCTGTAGTACTAGATTCCAGCATAAGAAGATTCATCAAGCTACCTGGCTGTCTCCGGATCGAAAAACCACCAACCAGATCGATCATGTTGTGAT